TCATGGAAGCTATGCCATTGATATTTTAAATATCAGCAGGATCACTTATGGTGGGAAGATTTCAGTAGAGTTTCCAGACTAAGACAGACTAGGAAGAAAGGCCTGGTGATCTACATCTAAAAATTGGCCAATGAAAACTCTGTGAATCACAGTAGACTATTTTCTAATAAAGTGCTGGAAGATGAGCCCCCCAGGTTGGAAGGCACTAAAAAAAACACAGTGGTGACAACAGTAGACTTGAGAAGTGGTGCAGGACCAAGCAACATTTTGTTCAGGACTGAGCAACATTTTGTTCTGTTGTACACAGGGTTTCCATGAATTGGAGCTGACTCAATGGCAACTGACAACAATGAAAATATTGTTACATTTAGATACCATGATTTACTTAATTATCCCCTAGTGTTATTTTGTTTTTCTTTATTATAAATATAGCACCAGTGAAGTTGTTTATACATAAATGTTTATCCACCTTTTAGATTATTTTTTAGGTTATATTCGTAAAAGAGAGATTACTGTGATGAAGATATAATAAATAGTTTTAAGGCCAAATTGATTTCTCAATAACTGAATTAAGATGCCACCCAACTTGAATCATATGTTTTTAAATTATTAAATGCTGCTTCCAGCTTTTTGGATTAATAGAATATTAGATTATTAGATTTGGGCTTGACATCTAAATTTCAAAGAACTTCAGCACTCTACACAATGCAGGAATCATTTTTCTTCTTTCAAACATGTCAAATCATGATTTTATGGAATGAAAGTTAGCCTTTCTAATACTGTCCAGGGCCAATTGTACTTTGTTTTAGAATAAAGAAAATTATTTACTTCAGCATAAATTTGTAGGAGCATAAGGGATAAAAGAAGTAATTTGTAATGTCAGTTTAAACTGAAACATATATCCCATTTTTATTACTAAGAACTCTTACCTCCTGCCAAACTTAAAAAAAAAAAAAGAAAAGCCAGAAAAAAAGTTAGTATCAAAACTAATCAACTTATGTCACATTTAAACCATTGAAGGGGATATTCTGCAGTTGTTATATTACCATGAAGTGCACCTTATCCACTTAAAAAAATGAGATAGTCTACTTAAAATTTCACTTGACAATCTTGTTTTGGTTGGTTTAGATTTAAAAGGAAAAAATTTTAAAAAGGCTTTGAGAGAGATGAAAGATATAGAAAAGGAGGTATTTGCTGTGACCTGCATGCCAAATATATGACATTCTCACTCTGACTCTCAAGCTCTTAACTAGGAGGAAGCATGCTGCATGAAGGAGAATCTGCTGAAGAGTTGTTTTTAACTACTCTGATGAGAGAGAAGTCTTGGCAGTAAAAAAGTGTGGGTTAAAGTCTGGATGTAGTAGTTTGAATAATGAATGAGAGGTGAGGTGAGGGTAGTGAATGTAAACTGCTTTTTCAAGACATTGGATTAGGAAAGGAAAGGAGATGGATACCTTCATACATTAAGGGAGAGGAAAATAGGGGCTCAGCATCTCAGGCTAAATAGACTTGAGCAGATTTTTCGGCTACGTGTAAGGAGTTAGTAGAGAGGAGAAATACAGTGGGGTTACTGAGGAGACTGGAGAAGATGCAGCCAGAAGCAAATGGTTAGCTTTGGAAAGCTTTCCTTCATTGAGAAAGATGGTAAAGATAGAGAAGCCATATAGATAAATTTAAAAAGGAAAGGGAGGGAAGATAAAGCAGCTGACATTCAATGATCTTTTTTTCTCTAGTTGATGTTAAGGGCTATGGTTATCTGCAGAAAATGTGGGTTGTGAGGATAAGGTTGAGCGCATAAGGAGAGGAGCAGTAATTCTGGAGCATGGAAAAGGTAGCTGATTAGGAATGAGTAGGATTGCTATAATATTAATTTAACTGAAGTTAGAAATAATATATTAGTAATGGTTATGTGATTTTTCTTCAGTAGCTTCAGGCAGTGGGAATTGAAGAAAATAAACAGTTCAGTTGATCCTGGGTTGGCAAGAGACACTTTAGTGATGCAGAAAATAAAAGGTGCTTGTTAGAGTATGGTCAGAATGACTGACCATGTAGTTCTGCCAGATGAGGAGGAAAGTGAAGTCATAAGGGAGCTGATATAGAGTGGAAAAGCAGGGAGAGATGGGAAGCAGTAGGTTACAACCAGCGACCAAAAACAGATTTGTTAAGGGTGGGAAAAATGAAATAATTGATGGTAGTGGTAAGCAGAGAATTTTACAGTTCAAAATTTCAGAGGTAATAACAGTCCCAAGTAATAACAATATCTAGAGTATATCACAGTGAGTGGGGTATTGAATTAGTGAAGGTGAATTTCTTCAGAATAAATGAGGTCAGGTAACCAGTTAGGCTCTGGGGCTGAATATTAAACTAATTGGGATGAAGACCAGAGTCACAATGGAGAGGAAAACTGAAGTGGCTGGCATCTTTAGAGTAAAGAAGTACAGAAAGAGTTAACATAGCAGACCTGAGACTAGAAAGGGTAGCTTGCAATGTTGGACGTTGGCTGGTATCTGGGAACTTGAATTTTGGTAGGGTTCCCAGTGTTCTTAGAACTGCTAAGACTGACTTATTGTGCCTGAACTGTACAAACATGTGGTTTATGCTGACCACCTGCTTTCCTTCTGGGAGTCTAGAATTTTAGTACATGGTAGGCAAAGAGTGCCTATACATACATGACCAGCCTTCAATAAAAACCTTGGTCACTAAGTTTCTAATGAGCTTCCCTGGTAGACACCATTTTACACGTATTGTCAAAACTTTTCGCTGGAGGAATTAAGCACATCCTGTGTGACTCCACTGGGAGAGAACTCTTGGAAGCTTACACCTGGTTTCCTCTGGACTTCTCCCCATGTGCCTTTCCCTTTGCTGATTTTTCTTTTTATCCTTTCTCTGTATTAAATCTTGGCAGTGAGTAGGACTATATGCTGAGTCCTGTGAGTCCCCCTAGTGAATCATTGAACCTGGAAGGCTGAAAATGACAGTGATTGGTGTTTGGAACAAGGTGCTATAATCAGAAAGCATGGTCATCAGAGGAAGAGAGATTGTGGAACAGTAGGTTGGAATTTTGCAGTGAGAGGTTAGTGGAATGTAGACTTTTCATGTGGTTCAAAAATTGCTTATTTATTCAGCAAATATTTATTGAGTTCTTATTATTTATCAGTCAGTGGGCCAGGCATTTGGAGTATTAAGATAATTAAGACACTCTAACCCATAGCCATCAAGGCTATCCTGACTCATAGTGACCATATAGGACAGAGTAGAATAGACCCATAGGGTTTCCAAGGAGCAGCTGGTGGATTTGAACTGCCAATCTTTTGGTTAGCAGCCAAGCTCTTAACCATTGTGCCTCCAGGGCTCCTAAGACACTCTTCTTATCCATAAATGACTCATTGTTTAGCAGGGTAGGGAGTTAGGCTTGTAAACATAATTATAAGGACTGTAAAAGAGAGAATGTAGGGGATATGGAAGATGGACCCTGGAGAATGAGCTGTAGTTGAGAATTCTTAAGGAAAGAGTGACATTTCAACAAGTTAAAGTGAAGAAATAGAGGATTTTTTTTTTTAAGAGACTGTATAAGGAAGTATTCTGGAAGCAGATTAGGGGTTCCAGAGGAGAGCATTGAAAGGAGTTTGGAAGGCGAAGGATCTATCAGGAAAGGGAATGCTGAATTGGATGAGAATGAGAGTTTAGGGTAGTAGATTGGAGTGGGTTACACTTTGAGTTATGGCTATAGACTGTAGGAATAAAGAGACAGTTAACTGGAAGTAGACAGATGGAATATGAGTGTACCAAGCCTATTTCAAGATTCTATTTAGAATTTAGGTGTAAAGTTGTAGTCTCTCTGCAAAGCCTTACCAGGTATATTACATGAACTTTAAAATTACCTCAAATTACATAAAAGTTAAATTGGTCTTGTTTGATTTCATTTTTTTTTAAAAAGGCTATAAAGCCCCTACTGTAGGACCTTGTGAAGTGGCACATAGAAGATGCTCAATATTTGTGATTTGAATGAATTCTCTTTTCTCTAAGTACTAGTGGACTCCTAATAGGTAAGAGTGAAGTTGGTTATTAAGTGTAATATGTCTTTTATCTTATCATACTTGCCATTCTTTGAAAATAGTTTAAATCTTTAATCAATTCTAAAACCGTGGAGTACTTTAACCATGATTCAAGGAAGGGTCTTTTAGGTAATAGAAACGTGTAAATATAGCAGATGTCTATATTTTCTTTCATACCATCTAATGAACTGACAATTGTTGGCAACACTTTGCCAATTGCCACTTCCTTTTTTAATTTCATCTCTTCCTCTTCTACTTCCCCACTCTTTCCCTTCTCCAGTCTTTCCCCTACGTTTTTCCTTCTCACACTTATTGCTTGTGTATGCAAAGGACATCTACTAAAATTTCACAGCCATTGCTTATCTCCATCAGTAGCTAGAAAAATATTGCTATCTCATATATTAAAATAATGTGCTTTGAAGTTAGTTTTTAAGGTTTAAATGGTAGCTTAAATAAAATAGAACATGTGAATGACTCATCTATTCTCTTGTTTATATGACCCAAAAAACCCATTGCCACTGAGTCCATTCCAACTCATAGTGATCCTATAGGACAGAATAGAACTGCCCCATGGGGTTTCCAAGCTAATCTTTATCGAAGCAGACTGCCACATCTTTCTCACCAGGAGCAGCTGGTGAGTTGGAACTGCTGACCTTTTGATTAGCAGCCGAATGCTTAACCACTGCGCCACCAGAGCTCGTTCTTGTTTATGTATTGCTGGTTAATTAACATTTAACCTCTTATCATTATACAGAAGTTATGAGTCAACTGCCAAAGTAAATGCTTGTTACATGTCATAAATTGCTGACTGCAATCTTTTTGTCTTAAACTTCCATTGTTATTATGTGTATATGAAACTATGTTCTAATTTTAAAGAACTAAAAAACTTTTTTTCGCAGCAACGACGTGTAATAACATATTCCTTTTTTTTTTTTTTTTTAATAGATTTGGACTAAGCAACAAATTTGAATCAGAATTCCCTTCTTCATTAACTGGAAAAGTGAGTGTCTGTTAATTATTTAGGTACTGTTTATATGCTTTAAAACTAGAAAAAAATTATATTTATGAGACATATTTGTTGACATTAATATTGCAGTGTTTTTATTTCTTAAAATTTTTCTTTAGGTAGCTCCTGAAGAATTTAAAGCCAGCATCAACAGAGTTAACAGTTGTCTTAAGAAGAACCTTCCTGTTAATGTACGTTGGCTACTTTGTGGCTGCCTTTGTTGCTGCTGCACATTAGGTTGCAGTATGTGGCCAGTTATTTGCCTCAGTAAAAGAGTAAGTTGAATTATATATTTTAATTTAAATGTAGGAATAGACAAGCAAATCCTGCATTATTTATTTAGTTTTTATTTTTTTGTATTGAGTGACTCACACTATCCTGAATGCTATCCAAAAATAATCTGATCCAGTAGAGGAGTGACTAAGTAAATTATGTTACATCCACATGCTGTTATATTAAATAACCGTTAAAAATTATATTTATAATAGGATAAAAATTATATAATAATATAGTATGTAAATCTGTTTTTTAAGACATTGGAAATTACTTAAGAGCAAAGAGTAGAATATAGCATTGTGTGTATATAGTTATAGTGGTATAGTATAGTGACCAAGAATACTGAGTTACTCCATCACTTATCTCTGTGACCTTGTGAGCTTAGGCATGTTTCCTAATCTCTTTAAACTTTGTTTACTCATCTGTAAAATGGCAATAATCACCTGCCTACCTGAATAGGATTGTTGTAAGGATAAAATGAAATAGTGTTTGTAAAGCTCCTAGCTTAGTAGCTCAAAGGAAGTGGTTAGTAAATAATTATTTGTTAGCATTATTACTGATATGCAAGATAGCATCCACAGAAAAAATAAAATAGTTACAGTGGTTGTCACTAGTTGGTAAGATTGTGGGGAATTCTTTTTTCTTTATTTTTATTTTTTTTGTTTTTTATGATCTTGTAATGAGCATATAGTGATTCTGTAATCAGAAAAAAATGATCTAAAGAGTCATAATTTTGACAACTTGTAATAAAAGATTCCCAAGATGTTGGTAGAGATTGGGTAAATCTGTATAGATTGAATTCATTATATTTCTATTAATTTTTTTTAAAAGTAACAATAATCATATATATATAAATGAAATACTGTTAAGTTGAAATTGAAGACGTGATTTGTGTGGTTACCTTTCGTTTTGTTACCAAATAATGGAATCAAATACAGAAAATATGGAAAAGCAAATTCTATTTGCCCCTTGACTTCTGTTATAAGAGGTGTATTTCTACAAAAAACTTTTTTAACCAGTACATTTTATTGATAGGAAGGAGATGATGCATTTGTATTAGAAGTACCCTTGTAATATTTCCTGTAATATTTATAATATTTATTATTCTCCAAGAATATTTCTTTTTTTCCATAGTTCTCACCAGATCATCTTCAGACCATAGAAATTTTTTTTTTTTTTTCCGTCTCTAGTGGTCCCTGGACCCACAGCTGCATGTAACTCTTGAGGTATAGATCCCTTCACTTCCTCCTAGCGTTTGGGTGTTTCTGTTGTTTAAATGACTGCTATATCTCACTTTGGTGGGTAAGTTGCTGTCATTTAACCCAAGGAATCATGGAGTTTATTACTGGTGGAAACCTTTGAGATATAGTCCATCCTCTGTTTTTCACTATTAAAATGAATAACACAGGATATTACAATGTATGCGCAATTTAGGATTTAGAAAACAAAAGTAAACTTTCTTTCCTTTGCCACACATTCTTAGCAACTTAAAATAATTTTTCAAATGGTTTCATTACCTTTTCATTTGAGACATTTGGTAGATTGGTTATTTTAGGCTATTTCATCTGTAGTTTCAGAAAGTATATTTCATTTAACATTGTAGTATTCAGTGTAAGGTCTCTGTAGATATGACTAGGTTGAGCCTATGTTTGATACATTTAATTTTACATGAAGTCTGCTACCTAGTGAGCATAAACAAATATGACTACTGCTTTAAAAAATAAAAAACAATTGGGCATTTCCCTGTCTTGGGTGTAAACTGTAATGTAACTAAGGAGAGTGACACTTCTTGTACCTGTGAAGGGTGTTAGAGGTCCTGAGAAAGGGATGCTTTGTAAGATGGTGGCAAGATAATTTAGAACAGGGATTTTTAACCTTTTATTTGTCATTGACCCCTTTGGAAATGTGGTAAAGCCTGTGAACCCTTTCTCACAATAACTTTTTGAATGTATTTTAAAACAGTGTATTTTAAATGTATAAAATAAAATACATAGGATTACAAAGGAAACCAGTTGTATAAAATATAATTATTAAAATACTAAAGCACCTCAAATTTATGATGTAGAAATATATGTTTCTTTATTAATGCATAGAAAATAAGATAGCAGAGATCTGTGGTAATATGATGTGATAGGAAAATAACCGTGATTTCTCTGAGTGACAAAGGCACAGATCCCATTTGGTCTATTACAGTCAGCTGTATACATTCATAACTTAAGGAAATACTACATTTCAGTTAAAGATTAGTGAAAATAAAGATGAATTTCTGCCCCATCCACTTTCATGGTCTCTCAGAATTCTATGTAGGTGCTCCATGTTAAGAACCCTTGATTTAGAGGTACTAGTGTAAAAAAACCACCACTTGTCTGTCAGTTTGTCATACTGTGGTGGCTTGCATGTTGCTGTGATGCTGCAGCCTATGCCACCGGTATTTCAAATAGCAGCAGCATCACCCATGGTGGACAGGTTTCAGTGGAGCTTGCAGATTAAGACCAACTAAGAAGAGAGGCCTGATAATTTACTTCTAAAAATTTGTCAAGGAAAACCCTATGGATCATAACAGAATATTGTCTTGGAAGAAGTACAGCCATTAATGCTCCTTAGAGGCAAAAATGGCAAGACTTCGTCTTACATACTTTGGACATGTTATAAGGAGAGATCAGCCCCTGGAGAAGTACATCATCCTTGGTAAAGTAGAAAGTCAGACAAAAAGAGGAGGACCATCAACAAGATGGATTGATACAGTAGCTGCAACAGTGGGCTCAAACATAGCAATGATTGTGGGGATGACACAGGACCGGGCAGTGCTCGTTCTGTTGTACGTAGAGTCTCTATAAGTTGGAACCAACTCAACGACTCCTGACAACAACAGCAGTAGTGCTGGAAGGTGAGCCCTCTAAGTTGAAAGGTACTCAGAATACACCACAATGGTTGCAACAGCGGACTCAAGCATACCAACAATCATAAAGATGATACAGGACCTGGCAGTGATTCATTCTGTTGTACATGGGGTTGCCATGAGTCAGATCTGACTCGATGACAACTAACAATAACACAAAAGTGTAATAAAAAAGGCTAGAAAATTATTTCACCTTGCCTGATTGCCAGCCTTTTAACCCCTTTTCTCCTCATGACGTGGAATTTCTCTTACATGGTTAGAATTGTCTCAGACTCCATGACAAATCAGAACCGAAGGAATACGCTATATGTAGCTCAACATTTTCACCTTTCTAACATTATTCACCAATTTGAATAACTAAATTTTAGCCTTGCTCTTGAAACCCATCCCCAACTGAGTACCCCTTTTTATTACTTGATCTTGTTCCAGAGACCTTGTTTTTCATCTGTGCTATTATTATTTTTAGACCCTCCAAATTGCCTTTTTAAAAAAATTGCCTTAGCCTATTTTTGAATATTATTTTTTTTAATATACAGTAAAATTTACCCTTTTTCATGTTCTGTGATTTTTGACAAATGCGTAGAGTTGGGTAACCACCACCGTAATTAAGGTACACAATAGTTCACTCCAAAAAAACTTTCTTGTGCTGCCACTTTGTAGTCAAATCCTCTTCAACCCTTAAACCATGGTAATCATGTATCTATTTTTTCTTTTTTGTGTAAATGTAAGTTTTCATTTTTAGGAGCGGGATTGCTGGGTCATATGGTAAGTGTAAGCTTAATTTTATAAGAAATTTACAACTTGTTTTCCAGAGTGGCTGTACCATTTTTCATTCTAACCAACAGTGTATGAGAGTTCCAGTTCCTGTCAGTGTTCTTGCCAGAATATAGTATTGTCAACTTAAAAATTTTTAGTCATTTTAGTAGATATGTGGTAGCATCTCATGGCTTTAATTTGGACTTCTCTCATGACAAATGATATTGAGCCCCTTTTCATGTGCTTATTTGCTATTTGTATATCTTCTTTTTTTAAAGCGTTTGCTAAAAAATTTTGCCCATTTTTAAAAGTAAGTTTTCTTACTGCTGAGTGTATATATTCTGAATATAAGTTCTTTGTCAAATATGTAATTCGCAAATATATCTTTTCTGGTCTGTAGCTTATCTTTTTTTTAATAGTGTCTTTCGCAGAGTGTCCAATTTATCAAAAAATTTTAAATGGATTGTGCATTTGGTGCTGTATCTAAGAATTCTTCGCCTAAGCCAAGATCACAAAGATTTTCTCTTACATTTTACATTTGATCCATTTTTAGTCAATATTTATATAGCCTTTCAAGATCCATGGAACATACGGTATCCCATCCACTTTGTATGCCTCTAGAGTTCTTTGGAAAGGGGCTAGCCCGATTTAATGTGGTTAGCCTTAAAGTGGGAGCCTTTTGAAATGCATGAAACTAAAAAATCCTGAGTGGGAGCCTCATTTTTGTGTAGATTAAGCGTTGTCTTAGGTGATGCCTCTCGAATATGTGGATTTTCTAAACTTTTGACAGATTTGCTTTTATTTCTGTGAAATAAGCTTTCTCACTACATTTCCCAGTTACTGTGGTCTTGTGAGAATTTACCTATCATGAGAATAAGCTATTGCCCGTCTTCGTAGTGACTATTTTCTCTTTTATGCCATTCATTGTTTCCAGATGTTACTGGCTGTCTTCTTTTCTAGCTTCTGAACAGTAAATAATGCTTTTCCAACAGGGAATAATGCATTGCAGTGGTACTTTTCAAGAGACTGGAACTCCTATAAGTTATTCTTACCCTACATTCAATCTTAGGGCCTAATAATTACTCCTGTGTGTAGCAGGTGGAATGCACCACTGTGAGCAGTTCTGCAATATTCCAGGACAGCTGTTTCTGCTTCTTAGCTGTTAGTACTGCTTTTCCTAAAATGAAGAATACATAGTAGTGGTAATTTTCCTGAGATTCAAATTCCTTTAGTTTTGTTTATTTTGCTTCTAAGTACTGCTTTTGCAGTAATGAAGAAAGCATTGTAATGGTAATTTTCCTGAGATAAAAAATCCCTTGGCTTTATTTATTTGTGCTGTAAGTA